GGGCTGGGCTGCAGCTCAGTGCTGGTCCAGTCCCGGAGCTCCTTTAACTCAGCAGAGGATGCCAACCATCTCAACAGGGACCATGAGAGCAAGTTGAGCCCGTGTACCTTCAGTTTTTCCAACAGAACCTGGTGTGCGCCCCTTGGAGCAGGTTGGCGCCCCGTGCGCACAGCACCTGTGGTTGGTGGCCACCGCTGTGTGCAGCGCCCTGGGAACGGTGGCGGACAGCCGGACCTGAGTGCCGCTGGGAGATTTCCAMGCGGCGTAGACTGATCCCTTGTTTTCTGTCCACTGTGTCCTCTCGACTCTCCCAGGCCTGTCCCCCGCCATCCACCTGGCCGTTCTCCACGTGTCGCTGGTCCTAGGGGAGGTCAGGTCCTTCAGGCCAGGTGGCCTCCTGGGGTCCWATAACCTACCTCTCATCTCTGTCACCTGCAGAACCTCATTGGGGCCATGGACCAGCTGCTGAAAGCCCCTGGGGACGTGGAGGACATTGCCCTGCCTGTCCGGCACCAGGTGGCCACGCAGTTGCTCCTGGGCCTGGAGCAATCTCTGAGGACCCTGGCGGAGTCTCTGCCTGAAGGCCCCTTCACCTACCGGTCCCCTTCAGGCACAGGTGAGGCTTCCTCCGCCCTCTCCAGCCTCCGCCCGGCAGTACTCCAGGTCCCCAGTCACCGCCCCTCTCTCCTCAGAGCTGTCCCTGATGAACCAGAAGCCAGGGAATGGAAATGTCACTTTGGGCCAGAGCCACGCACGGATCCACCTAGACTGGGCCACCGCAACTGGAGCCGGGAACTCCAGCACAGGTGGGGTCCCCAGAGGAGCCGCGGGGGGCGGGGGGTGGGGGGAGGTGGCACGGGGGGGAGGTGGCACGGGGGTGGGGGGAGGCTGGGCAGGTCTAGAACGTGGGCGGCGGCTCCGGGCCTGGGGGGGGGGTGGCCGGGTCTGGACTGGGGTGTCCTGGGCGGAAGGAGAGGCATGGAGCACGTCTGTCCCCAGGCACCACTGTGGTGGGCATCCTGTCCAACCCGAACATGGGGAAGCTGCTGGTCAACGCCTCCCTGGTTCTGGACCCCGAGAAGGTAGAGGAGCTGCAGAAGGCCCACGAAGGCCCCCTGCGGGGCGCGCGCATCCAGATCCTCTCGCCCGTCAACTCSGTCTTTCTGACCAACAACGACACTGAGAAGCTCGCCTCCCCTGTGACCTTCGCCTTCTCCCACGATGTGAGTCCACAGGGGGGAGGAGGGGAGGGTCCTGCCGCTCACTCCACAGCCAAATCAAGTGCCCCGCAGTGCCTTCGTTTCCCCGCCTCCAGCCACCTGCTTCCTTCTCACATGAACCTCAGGACCTTTGCTCTTGCTGAGGCCCTGCCCGGGACACTTCCTCTACGGACCCCAGTCCTTTAACTGTTTCTAGTCTTTGCTCAAATGTCACCTTCTCATTGGTCCTCCCTGACCTCCTTATTTAAAATCAAAACGCATGGGCTGGGGGCATGGCTTCATGGTGGAGTGCTTGCCTAGCACGTGCAAGGCCTGGGCTTCATCCCCAGCATGGGAGGGGGGACTTAGTAGGTCTACGATTTATTCCTTATTTTTTAAAATCATGACATAATTTTTAAGCTGCAAAATAATATCCTATTTATTGATTTATTTTGAATTTGTATCTATACTTGGGCACAGTCTTTTTTTTTTTGTTTTTATTTTGTGGTGTTGAGCATTGAATATAATTCTCACATGCTYGAGGCAAGTGCTTTGCCACTCAGCCACAATCCCAGCCCAATATCCTATTTATTTTTTAAATTTTTATTAGTTCTTTTTAGTTGTAGATGACACTAGAGTGTATTTTGACATATTATAAATACATGGAGTATAACTTCCCATTCTCCTGGTTGTTCAAGATGTGGAGTTTCACGGTGACATATTCATGTATGAACACAGGAAAGTTACGTCCCATTCATTCTGTCTTTTCTATTCCCATTCCCCCTCCCTTCCCTTCATTCCTCTTTGTCTAATCCAATGAACTTCTATTCTTGCCCCGCCCCATCCTTATTGTGTGTTAGCATCCACATATCAGAGAGAATATTCAGACTTTTTTTTGGGGGGGTTGGCTTATTTCACTTAGCATGATAGTCTCCAGTTTCACCCATTTACCAGCAAATGTCACAGTCATTCTTCTTTATGGCTGAGTAATATTTCATTGTGTATACATACCACATTTTCTTTATCCGTTCATCTGTTGAAGGACACCTAGGTGGGTTCCATAGTTGAGCTATCGTGAATTGAGCTGCTGTAAACATTGATGTGGCTGTGTCACTGTAGTCTGCTGATTTTAAGTTCTTTGGGTATAAACCAAGGAGTGGGATAACTGGGTCAAATGGTGGTTCCAAGTTTTCTGAGGAATCTCCATACTGCTTTCCAGAGTGGTTGCACTAATTTGCAGTCCCACCAGCAATGTCTGAGTGAACCTTTTCCCCCGAATCCTTGCCAGCATTTATTGTTACTTGTGTTCTTGATGATTGCCATTCTGACTGGAGTGAGGTGAAATCTCAGTGTTGTTTTAGTTTCCATTTCTCTAATTTCTAGAGATGTTGAACATTTTTTTAATATTTGTTGACCATTGTATTTCTTCTGTTCAGTTCCTTAGCCCGTGTATTGACTGGGTTATTTGTTTTTTGGGTGTTGAGTTCTTTGTCTATCCTGGAGGTTAATGCTCTCTCTGAGGTGCAGATGGTAAAGATTTTCTCCTATAGGGTTTGTCTTCACATTCTGGGTAGTTTCCTTTCCTGTGAAGAAGCTTTTTAGTTGGATACATCCCACTGATTGATTCTGGATTTTACTTCTTGTGCTTGAGGAGTCTTGTTGAGGAAGTCGGTTTCTAGGCCGGCATGATGGAGAGTTGGGCCGACTTTTTCTTCTGGTAGGTGCAGGGTCTCTGGCCTCATGCCTTGACTCACTTTGAGTTGAGTTTAAGGCAGGGTGAGAGGCAGGGGTCTGATTTCATTTTGTTACCTATGGATTTCCAGTTTTCCCAGCATCACTTGTGGAAGAGGCTGTCTTTTCTCCAATGTACGTGTTTGGTACTTTCTGGTACGAGGTGACTGTGTTCATGTGGGATCGTCTCTGTGTCTTGATTCGGTACCGTGGTCTTCATGTCTGCTTCTGTGCCAGCACCGGGCGTTCTTGTTACCGTAGCTCTGCCGTGAAGGTTAAGGCCTGGCACTGGGCCCCCGCTTCCCTCTTCTCACTGAGCACTGCTCTGGCTGTTCTGAGGCCTATGATTTGTTGACCGTCTCCTTCACCATCACGTCATTTATTGCTACTTGTGTTCTTGATGATTGCCATTCTRACTGGAGTGAGGTGAAATCTCAGTGTAGTTTTAATTTGCATTTTTCTAATTTCTAGACATGTTGATTTTTTTTTTTTTAACATTTGTTGACTGATTGTATTTCTTCTGTGAAGTGCAGGGACTTGCGTCTGCCTTTTTCATTGTTATGTGCCCAAGCCTGGGGCACACAGTAGGTGCTTAGTAAATACTTGTCCAGTGAAAAGCAGACTACTTGGCTTAAGCCCCGGACCCAAGTGAGCACCAGGCCAACCTCTCTGCTCACCCCTCTGCCCCCAGGGGGAGAGATCCAGGAAACGTAAAGAGCTGATCTGTGCCTTCTGGAAGATGGACAGTAACAAGAGTGGACACTGGGACACCACCGGCTGCTGGAAGCTGGGCAGCGGCAATAACAGCACCACCTGCCAATGCAACCACTTGAGTAGCTTTGCCATCCTCATGGCCCACTACGACATACAGGTAAGGGGCGGGGGACACCCTCAAAAGGCCACAGGTGCTGGCACAGTGGGGCACATCTGTCATCCCAGGGACTTGGGAATCTGAGGCAAAAGGATCACWAGCTTGAGGCCAGCCTCAGCAACTAACCAAGGACCTAAACAACTTAGTAAGACCCTGTCTCAAAATTTTAAAAAAGGGTGGGGGGTGGGGCTGGGGCTGTGGCTGAGTGGTTAAGTGGCTCTGGGTTCAATACCCAGCACCAAACAAAAACAGGGCTGAAGTAGCTGAATGGTAGAGCACCCCAGGTTCAATTTCCAGTGCTGCCCCCAAAAAAGAAAAGGGCCCACAGGTGTCGAGGTCAGGTTAGGCAAGACAGTCAGCTGGTTCTCCATGGTACATTCCATCTGGTTGTTCAAATATGTCCCTGTCCCTGTGGTTGCACAGTCAAGTGGCCCTATGCCACGCCCTCTGTCACCCTTTCTGGGACTTCATGACCCAGCAGCTGTGCTGCTTGGCACAGCCCTACTGCAGCCAGTGCCCCTCTGCCTGTGGAACTGGCACCAGTTGTGAAATGTTGGTAAAAACTCCCCACGTAGCCATTCGGGAGGCTGGGGCAGGAGGGTTGCAAGTTCGAGGCCAGCCTCAGCAACTAACCAAGGCCTTGAGCAACTTAGCAAGACCCTGTCTCAAAAAATAAAAAGGGCTGGGGGTGTGGCTCAGTAGTAGAGCCCCTCTGGGTTCCCAAAAAACAAAACAAAAACCTCCCCACGTAGAACACTCCAGGGTAGCACAGTTTTCTAAATGTGGCCTAAGGGGGGATCCATAGGTAGCTGGGCCAAAGTCACCCAAAATTAGCCAGACAGTGGGGGCTGGGGTCCAAGCCAGAGGCCCAGCAAGTACTACCCCGTGGATGGAGTGTGGCCCTCGGGTCCTGACGGGACTCCGCCCACCCATCCCACTCCTAGGACTGGAAGCTGGAGCTGATCACCAAGGTGGGACTGTGGCTGTCGCTCGTCTGCCTTCTGCTGTGCATCCTCACCTTCCTGCTGGTGCGGCCCATCAAGAGCTCTCGCACCACCGTGCACCTGCACCTCTGCGTCTGCCTGTTCGTGGGCTCCGYCGTCTTCCTGGCGGGCATCGAAAAGGAAACCCCAGACGGCGAGGTGAGGCCCGCCCCGCCCTCACCTGCGGTGGGGTTGGGAGACCCAGAAGCGGTGAGCCCCGCCCTCCCCTGGGACCCCCAGGCCAGGCCGCTCCGCCTGCCGCCGCGGTCTTGGCAAAGGGCGCCGGCCTTGGAGGCACSTGTCACCCCCAGGCCCACCCGCCAGGGCGGTGTCAGAGGCGACCCGGAAGCGCCTGACCACGCCCCCTGGCCCGGGGGAGGGGCTCGGGCGACGCGGCCCCGCCCCGCGCTGACGTCGCCCGGCCCCTCCTCTGCTCCCGCAGGCGGGGCTGCGCTGCCGCCTGGTGGCCGGGCTGCTGCACTACTGCTTCCTGGCCGCCTTCTGTTGGATGAGCCTGGAGGGCCTGGTGCTGTACTTCCTCGTGGTGCGCGTGTTCCAGGGCCAGGGCCTGAGCACACGCTGGCTCTGCCTGATCGGCTACGGCGTGCCCCTGCTCATCGTGGCCATCTCGGCGGCCACCGCCAGCGAGGGCTACGTCGGCGAGACCTAGTGAGTATGCTGGATGGGGCAAAGGCGGGGGCTGGGTTGCCAGGTGACAGCACCCCAGTTCCGTGCCCCTCTGGGGTCTGATGGGTCCCCTCCTCTCTCCCAGCTGCTGGTTGAGCAAAAAGCATGGCTTTTTCTGGAGCTTCGTAGGACCCCTGGCCTTAATCATTTTGGTAAGTGCCCCCTTTTTACAGAAAGCCTGAGTGACAGGGTCCCCACCTTCACCCCTCTCATCCACAATCTGTACCCCCCACCCAGTGCAATGCTGTGATCTTCGTGATTACCGTCTGGAGGCTCACTCAGAAGTTTTCTGAAATCAACCCAGACCTGAAGAAATTACGGAAGGCAAGGTGAGATGGCTGGAATCAGCGAAGGGGCTGGGACCTGAGGGGCCTGGAGGTGCAGGTTGTGGGTGGAGATAAGGGGCTGGGGTGAAGGGAGTGCGGGATGGAGGTCAGTATCTGTCCCTCTCTCCCCTGCAGGGTGCTGACCGTCACAGCCATTGCCCAGCTCTTTGTGTTGGGCTGTACCTGGGTCTTTGGCTTGTTCCTCTTTGAACCCTACAGCTCAGTGCTGACCTACATCTTCACCATCCTCAACTGCCTGCAGGGACTCTTCCTCTACGTCCTGCTCTGCCTTCTCAACAAGAAGGTGGGCCGGCAGGGGAGGCTGTGGGAGGAGCTATGCCTCAGTCCTGGGGTGGCCTCTCCCCTGACCTGGCACCTTGGGCTTGTAGGTGAGGGAAGAGTACCGCAAGTGGGCCTGCATGGTTGCTGGGAGCAAGTACTCAGAGTTTGCCTCTTCCACAACTGGCAGCAGCCACAATCAGACTCGGGTAAGGGACTGTGCCTGAGGCAGGGTACTTGGGAAGGCACCTGGTCAGGGGTCAAGTCCTCACAGGCTCCTCTCTCCCCAGGAGCTCAGGCCATCGGAGTCTGGTATGTAAAGGCAAGGATCACGCCAAGCCAGTGACTCCTGCACGTGCTGAAGGATACCCTCCTGCCGCTGTCCTCCCACCTTGGGGCCCCATTGCAGTAGAGCGGGCCACAGCTCATCTCATACTCAACCCCAGAACGGGGGAGCTGCCAGCGGTCCCGCTTCTGACCATCTCTGTGCCCCACRAAAGCTGTGGGGACACAAACTGGCCCAGGGTTGCAACCCACTGCTCTAGCACATACTGCCAGTTCTGAGGACAGACTGCAGACCCTGGTGCCCTTTACCCTCAGCTCTTTGCCACAGAACAGAAGGGGCCAGGATGCTGGGTTCAGCTTGCCTATTAAGCCAAGACTGAAGTCAGAGGCAGAGAAGCTGGCTGCCGCTGACACTCACGGTACAGAGGCCTGGCTGCCCACCTGCAGGGGCAGAGGGGTCTCCCTGTTGTGAAGGTTGGATGTTGTGTAATGTCTTTTTATCTGTGTAAATCTCTCAGTGTTGACACTTAAAAAAATTAAATATCATGATACAGAAGGTGGCGCTGCTCATTGGCCAGGCCGTGTCCATGAAATGCTGACAGACGACAAAGAAACAGATGGGGTGGGAGTCAGGCTTCCATAATAAAAATTTATTCTTACACAAATCTACAGCTTTTGAACAGTAAAAAGAGACACCCATCTGTTGCCTAGAAAGAGGACATGAAGCAGCACGTGGGAAGCAGGGCGGCTGGGTCTTCAAGGCACGTGGTTACCGGCTCTGCTCGACTGCAAAGACAACAGGGGAGGCAGTGAGGGAGAGGTCCTCTGCCCGAGACCTGCATCCCCAAATGCTGGCCTTGCCCCAGCCACTTACTGTATGTGGAGATATCGATTTCTTCCGGAAGCTCAGCCACATTCACTTCAAACCGGTCCTGGACATCATTGAGAATTTTGGCATCATTTTCATCAGACACAAAAGTGATGGCCAGGCCTTTGGTGCCAAAGCGACCTGCGCGGGCCACCTGCAGGGAGGCAGGAACAGGGTCAGGCCATAGACACGCACTCAGGGTTTGATGATGAGCAGAGCCAGGTGCCCACCCACTGTCACCCCGGGAGGAGAACCTCTTACCCGGTGGAGGTAGGTGTCTGAGTCCTCGGGCATGTCATAGTTGAAGACGATGTTGACGCGCTCAATATCCATCCCTCGGCCAAAGAGATTGGTGGCCACCAAGATCCGCCGCTGGAAGTCCTTGAACTGCTGGTAGCGTGACAGACTGGGTGCAGGAGAAATAAGTGGAGGCTGTCAGACACGGGCTCCTGGGCGCTGCTCCCTCTGGCCACGGCAGGTGGCGTGCACTCACCGCTCCTCCTGGGCCATGCCCCGGTGAATGGCGATGGCTGGGAAGTTCTGCTCCACAAGGAGCTGGGCCAGGGCCATGCAGCGCTGCACGGATTTGACGAAGATCACCACCTGTGGGAGAGGCAGCGGTTAGGCCTGGCCGGGTACCCGCTCCTGAGGCCCAAAGCCCAGGACAGGCTGCGGGGCATCACCTGGTTAAACTCCAGCACATCCAGGAGGTCAAAGAGCTTTCGGTTCTTCTCGCTGTCCTTGAGCTTGACATAGTACTGCTGCAGCCCATGCAGCGTGAGCTTGGTCTCGTCGTCCACAAACACCTCCATGGGCTGTGTGGGAAGGGAAGCAGGAAGGGGCGAGCGGGGCTCACTTCTGGGCGTCTCGCCTGCCCAGAACCTTCCAGGGAGTGGCTCCTTTGCAGCGATGCTTCCCAGAGGGCCTGCTGTACCCAACCTCAGAAACAATTCTCTACCAAAAGCTGGATGTGAGCTCTGGTCTGGCTCAGGCGTGGACCACACTCGACTCTCAGTGTGACAAAACAGGGGAAAGAAGGAGCCTCAGCCGGCCTCCCAGCATCCTTCCAGCCGTGAGGGCAATGTGGGTGTCGTGGAGCGGCCCCAGGCCCCTGGGGAGGGCTGAAGCTGCTGCGCTGAGGTCTCAGCCACCACGGGCAGGCCGGGGCGTCACCCTACTCACATCCTGCATGAACTTCCTGCAGACTGGCCGGATCTCCTTGCTCAGGGTGGCACTGAACATCATGCACTGCTTCTCATGAGGCGTTAGGCGGAAGATCTCCTGCACATCCCGCCGCATGTCTGGGTGGGGAAGGCAAGAACCAGGGGGGCATGAGTATCTGCCAGACCACCAGCCCAGCCCAGTCAGTCCCAGCCCCTCCCACCTGTGTCAGGGAGTGGCAGGAGGGAGAGTCCCAGGTGCCTGAGGGGCTGGACTCAGGGGAGAGTGAGCGCAGGCGCGGGAGGAACTGCAGTCGACTTACACGCTGCCAGAGCGGAGCAGCTGTGCCAATGCGCCTCGGGCCGCGCTTCGGGGAGGGGAGCCTGAGGCAGAGATAGCTGCTGGGGTGAGAGCCGTAGCTGCTCCCAGGACACAAGCCCTTCTCCCACGGGTCCTGCCACAGCTGACTGAGGGCAGGTGGCACCCAGGACTAACCCAAAAGGTGGCAGAAACCGCTCTGCTCCTCCAGGTGCATGTAGGCATGCTCATGTGCCCAGGAAGGGCTAGCAGCTCGTTCGGGCACAGTGGTCCCATTGAGCTTGGCTTAGAAGCAGCACGTCCCACTCTGCCAGCACAGAACTTCCCTTAGAGCCATTTACCAGAGGCCTGTGTTCTGGCCATATCCATGTGACCCACTATGGGACCCTTAGAAACTGCCACAACCCACTTAGAAACTGACTCTGGAGTCTGGGGGCCTGCAAGGGTGGGAGGTGTGGCGGGCGGGCCCCAGGTAGCCCCACAGGCTTGGTAGGGACACTCACCCAGCTGCTCCAGCATCTTGTCACACTCGTCCAACACAAAGTGCTTCACGTTTTTTAAGTTGAGGCTCCTGTTCCGCACGAGGGCCAGGATCCTGCCTGGTGTCCCCACCACTACATGGGGACAATTCTTCTTCAACACTTCTTCATCTTTCTTGATGGAAAGGCCCCCAAAGAACACAGACACCTACAGGCATGAAGAGAAAGTTGCTTCCACATACCTGGGGCTGTCCATACTCACACGCCATCCTTGGTCTGGAGAGCTCAGGCCCCAGCAGTCCCAAGAGTGCCCAACACCCCAGCCTTGGTGCCTCAGAACCCAGTGCCAGTGAACGGCAGCCCCAGGCTGGGATGGGCACAGGCCCCTAGAGGCCATGCATAATTCATCAGGCTTTTAAAGGAGCATAAACCACCGCAAACCTCAAAGGCAGCTGCTGTAGCCAAGCTTGGTAAATGCTGGCTGGTCTAGTGCTGGGGCCAGCGAGGCTACAGAGACCATGGGGCACCCTGCTTGCTTGCCTGAGGCTCACCTTGACACTGGGCATGTATTTGGAGAAGCGCTCATATTCCTTGCTGATTTGGAAGGCCAACTCCCTCGTATGGCACATGACCAGGACTGTCACCTGGGGAATGAATATGTAAGAAATCCTTGAGGAAGGCAGCCTAAATCCTCCCTCTCCAGAGCTCATACCCACCACACCTAACTGGTCCCCCCCGACAGGGCACCAGCCACACCTCAGTGTCCTACACCTCAGGCCACTTGAAGGCACAGTCCAAATGCCTTGCGTCCCTCCACCTTCTCACAGCCCTTCATAGCTACTGAGGCCTAATCTTTTGACGATAGGACCCGTAACAAAGCCAGACGGAGAAGGGACTGGGTAAAGGTAGAACCTGCCCACCCAGGGTGACAGAGGCTCCAAGTTAACAGCATCCTGCCTCTGCTCGAGCTGCACCTGCCTTCCTGCTCATGTCAAACACTGGTCACACCAGTCTTCCACCAAGACTCCATCCTTCAGGACTTGCCCCAAGACAAGGGTACAGGTCCCAACACACCACACAAGGATATGAAACCTGGCATGACTCTTGTTTGTTCTGTTTTTGCTGCTGAGGATGGAACCCAGGGCCTCAACACATGCTGGCCAAATGTGCTGCAATTGAGCTACACCTAGCACCCCTGTATTATTCGTAAGATCAAAACACCAGAATTCACCCAAGTTATCCCCCAGATAATGGAATTCAATGTTAATGACATGAGGTCTCCAGGCCTATCATCAGGAACAGCAGGAACAACCAGACAGGGCAATTCTACCTCCCAAAGCATAAGCTACGAGGGAAGCACCCACTGAAACAGCAGCAATATCTCTGAGTGGTTTATGAATTGCAGGTATTGCCTCATTGGCTTTTTAAATTTTAACTACTTAATTTCAAAAAGCCCACAAAAAGAATGTGGGAGCATAATTTTATCAAGGGGAGCTGGGGCTCTGCTGCCCCAGGCAGTGTGCACCTGGAATGGAAGCAGCACTCACCTGTCCGTTAACAGGCTCGATCTGCTGCAGAGTAGCCAGCACGAAGACAGCCGTCTTACCCATCCCAGACTTGGCCTGGCACAGGACATCCATGCCCAGGATGGCCTGGGGGATACACTCATGCTGGACTGAGGAAGGAGGACCATGTGAGTGACCAGAAAACAGTGCATTCCTTCTCTACAGATTCTCTACACCTTCCTGGGAAGGTGACTAAGGGGACCCCAGATGGGGCAACCACAGGTCAATCCTGGGCCAGACCACAGACATCTGCCTGTCTGGGGTATTCCCCCAGTTAGAGCAGACTGCCATGCTGCAGAACCTCCCAGGACAACTGCACAGCTGACCCACAGGGAAAGCAAACCCTCCCTCATCCAGGACACGCTAGAGGTTACACTGCTCTGAGCAGGCAAAGCTGGTTTTGGGGAGATGAGCTGGGGCAGTGGGTGAACATCACCAGGGAGGCCTACCCTCGGATGGGTGTTCAAAACCACAGTCCACTATGGCCCTCAGGAGCTCTGGCTTCAGCAAAAAGTCTCGGAAGCCAGAGCTATGGATGGAGACGTAGGACCCCTTGACGTCTTTCTTAGGTGGAGCTGGAGTACTCTCTGGAGGAGCCTGGGGCTCTTCGTCTTCTTCGTAATCCAAGAGCTCGTTCTCCACATCCTGCTCTGCCATGGTACTGAGAACAGAAGAGAGAGGAAGGGCCAAGGGAAGTGACAAAGTGTAGGCAGGACAATCTACCCAGCAAGGGAGACCATGGCCTGGCAGCCATAAGCTGTTGACACAGACCCAAAAGAGGCCTTCATGGGAGGGCAAGCCCCATGAGGTGGCACAGAAAGTTAATGGAGCGCTGGGCATGGTGGTGCAGGCCTGTAATCCCAAGACTCAGGAGGCTGAGACAGGAGGATTACAAGTTCAAGGCCAGCCTCAGCAACTTGGAGAAGCCGTAAGTATCTTTTTAAAAATCGACAGAGCTGTAACTTCACCCTCAGATCCCTTTCTGCCTCAACACCGCCACCAGCTCCACCTGTGCAATACCACCCACCCAGCTTCAGCCCACGGTTCCCACTCCCACCACCCTCCTCCAAGCTACCAGGTCTTTCCTCATGTCCTCACATGCCCATCAACATCCTCCAGCTCCAAGGGCTCCCATAGCACCCAGTGAAATCCCAAATCTGCTCCACAGTCCTCACGACCCTCCAGGTCCAGCCCCTGCCTACCATATTGCATACCACCCTTGCTCTGTTCATCTGCGCAGACTCACAGAGCCCCTATGTCAAGCCTTCAAGCCCTGCTGCCCCCTGGGGGAACATTCTGCACAAAAACATCATTTTCAACATTCAAGTCTCAGTTCTTGAGACTTGTTCAAGACCTGCTTGGATCAATGAGCCCAAAGGAATCCCCCTTCCCCCCTCGCTCCTCAAGGACCCCAGACACCTGCAGGTGTAGCTGCCCAGATGCTGGAGAAAACCGAGGACGTGCGGTGGGGTTGTGGCTCACAGGTAGAGTGCTAGCCTGGCATGTGTAAGGCACTGGGTTTGAGCCTCAGCATCACATAAAATAAAGATGTTGTGTCCACTTATAATTAAAAGAAAACTGAGGATGTGAGGAAGCGAGAAGCGCCTGCTCAGCTCTGGTACCTTCTGCTACCTGTGGCCCACCCAGGGGAATAACTATTTTCATGAAAAGGCCTCCCACTAGGTGCTGGCCAATCAAAGAGCTGAGATGGTAAATGGAATTAATACAAAGTTCACTCATCTCCTTGCTATGTCTAGCAATAGACACTAAGTGCCAGGGACCCAACTGTGAATATGCTTTTGTCCCCCCTCCCCCACCCCCCATGGCAGCCTCCAGCTGAAGATGAGACAGTGCTTCTTCCTGGGCCAACACACTAAGGGTGCTAGGTGGACTTTATGGTTTTAACCATTTCTATGCTGATGGCCCCGTGTCTCTAGTCAAAACCCCTTCCCTAAACAGACCCAGTCACCAGGTGTCACTTTCACATCCTTGGGTGACACTAAAAGTTGAACTCAAAATGCCCAGAGCAAAATTCCCCATTTCCCCTGAAGACTTGCATCCCCATCTACAAAACAATTCCATTCTCTGAAGGAATCTTGTCTTCTCTCTCCCTCAACCTCCTTCTCTGATCAGCCAAGGAATCCCTCCACCACATCCATCCAGGGCCCCACCCGTGCTAGGCAGGTGCTACTTCTCACTCGTGCTACTACACTGACCCCAAGCTGCCACGCCGTTTTTAAAAGTAGAAGAGCTTTACAGAGATACTCATGTGTTACAGAACTCAAAGTACACAATTCAGTGGATTTTAGCACAAAGACATGTGTCAGGGCTGGGGATGTGGCTCAAGCGGTAGCGCGCTCGCCTGGCATGCGTGCGGCCTGGGTTCGATCCTCAGCACCACATACCAACAAAGATGTTGTGTCCGCCGAGAACTAAAAAATAAATATTAAAAAATTCTCTCTCTCTCTCTCACTCTCTCTTTAAAAAAAAAAAAAAAAAAAAAAAAAAAAAAAAAAAAAAAAAAAAAAAAAAAAAAAAAACAAAGACATGTGTCACCATTACCAGTCAAGTTTAGAATGCTTCATCAGCTCAAAAAAGCCTCTGTACCATCAGAGGCTTCAGCCACCAACCCCGAGCCCAGAAAATCACTAATCTCTTGTCTCTACAGAGTTGCCTGTTTTGGACACTTCACATTAAAAGGCTCATACAACATATGGCCTTGTGTCTGGCTTTCTTCACTAAGCATCAAGTTCTCGAAGTTCATCCACTTTATAGCATGGATCAGTGCTTCACTCCTTTTTATAGCCATATAATATTCCCTTGTGTGGGCACATTAACACATCTTTGTTATCTGGGTGCCATCACTTCTTGGCTGGACTATGCCAACGGCCTCTTCAGTGGCTCCCTGTTCCCATCCCCTTCTACCCAAAACGGTCAAAGGGAGTCTGTTAAAGCTAAGTTGGGCCTGACATGTCACTATGCTGCTCAGAACCTGTCACGGGCTTCCACCATGCTCAGATAACACTCAAGTCAGCACCACAGCCCCCTCTCCATGCTGACTCTCCACCTACTCACCTCACCAGCCTTGCTGCATCTCAAACACACCTCAGCACTTGCTATCTCTGGCGTCTGGAACAGTAAAGAACTCCCCTGCCCGATACTTCTTTTGGACCCCCATTGCTCCAAAAGGGCAGTTCCTTACAGCCCCAACCTAAAAAGCACCCCCTCCAGTCAGTCCCGCCCTGTGCGGACTGGCACAGAGCAGATAAGCACTCAAAAGCAATGGCTGAATGAATGGAACAAGAATCAGGTCTTAAGGCAGAGTGTGCGAGTCTCTGAATCTGGAAGCAATCTGATACCAACCCTAAGAATTCTTACTGGCAAAGACAGGAGGGGTCCATTTTCCAAGCACCAGAGAAAAGACCAAGAGCCAAGAAAGAACAGGAGCCAAAAAAGATCAGTCCAAAAAGCACCAGATCTTTTGGGGTATGAAGAACAACTGGCTGGCTGAAGTACAGGCAGCAGACAAAGCTGGAATAGCTGGTCAGGCCCAGGGCACTTATGCTTAATTTACTAAGCAATAGGGAATCGCTGATTAGGTTTCAGAGTTGAGTGAGTCAATCAGCATTTACCCAAGAGGAATTTACTCCACAGACGCAGAGGAGGCTGACACCATGAGCCAGGAAAACCAGTCACCAAATGGAAGGGAATTAAAGCTGGATGGGGGCTGGCTAAGTAAGGAAGGAGAGGAGACCGCGGGACACCAAACAGGTCAGAGACAGGCATCACCTGGGCAACCCACAGATGGAAAAGAACCAGAGTTACCTCCTCTGACTTCCAAATCTGGGTGGCCAAGAGACGGCGTGTTTAAAACACACAGACCAAGCCAAGTTGTTTTGTGTTGATGTGGAGACATATTCGCAGCACAAATTTTTGCAGAAGGGGCGAGGGATGTAGCTCAGTGGTGGAGTGTTTTCCAAGCCAGTGCGAGGTCTTGGGTTCCAACTCCAGACCCGAGAGAGGAAGGGGGGGAAAAGGCAACTCCCAGAAGTGGCTGGCCAGAGTCCTATGCTCGAAACAAATCGGGTCATAAGGCAGGATTTGGTGTGGTCTAACAGCCCAGAAAGGCCGGCCGCGACAGCTGAGGTCCCAGGAGCAGCAGGGCTTGGAAGCCGACACCGGGGTAAATGACAACCCAGACATGCCACGCGCACCCATCTGCCCTCCATTGTCCTCAGATAGGCTTTTCACCCCGGCGTTGATTCCCTACTGGGAACTTCTAATTTCAAAAGAGGATGATTTCTGCCCTAAGTGTCTGGAACTCGAGTCCCGCCGATGAAGGGGKCAAGAACGAGGTGCAGTGGGGGTGGGGGGACGCCCTTCGGACCCGGAGAAACCAGTCCMGTCTGGTAGCTCTGGCTTCTCCCACCGCGGCCTCAAACTCCGGGGTAGCCCCCTCAGTCTCTCCCACAAAAGGCCCCAAGCCGCCCCGGGGTCTATTCTCTCCCCCAACTCGGGCCCAGCCCGCAGACAGACCGCCATGACACCCCCTCCCGGAAGCAGGCCCGCGCCCTGCGCGCCAACGGCCGGCCCGGTCCTGGCGCATGCGCCCCGGGGCCCAACGGCCACCACCGCGCGCCCCGGGAGCYCCAACCGCCCCGCCCCCCCTCCTGCTCCCCTTCAACCCGCGGTATCTGCTCTCGCCCGTTTATCCACAGGTCAGACGTCCCCGCACCGCGGCCCCGCGCCCCCGGCGCCGCCGCCTACCTGGGTCTCCGTTCGCCTCCGCGTGCTACGAGGAGAGCCGCCTGACTCCGGCTACCCGGCACGCGCCGCGACACGAGCTGCGGCGCTTCCTGCCTCCTCAGTAAGACTGTGGTTCTGCTCACAGGACACCTTGCTTTTCAGTCAAGAGAAGCGGAAGTGGTGATTGGATAATAAGGAAGGTGTCAGGAGGCTATTGGTGGAAAGGAGAAAAGAGGGCGTGCCTCAAGCCTCCGCTTCATTGGTCAATCTGAAAGTAGGCGCGCCAAAATGAGATCTACGCCGGGCGGCGCCCTGTCATGTGATCTGGGTTCACTCCTCCATGGGTGCCGCCATGTTTAGTGCTGGCAACTGAAGGACAGATAATTAGCCCTTGACTTGTGCCCCACCCTTTAGAATCGTGGCCTCGGTCCTTGACGCTAAATCCAGCGCTCCCGGAGTTAGCATTGCTCGCCGGCGTGGGGGCCCTCCACCCTGGAGGCTTTGAAAGGACTCCCAGGAGGCTTGGAGGCTTCCAGTGACTATTCTTGTCTGTTCTTGAATTTAACAGAAGTAGAATCCTGCAATAGGTTTGTCTTTGGTGTCTGGCTTCTTTAGCTTTTTTTGTGTGTGCCAGGGATTGAACCCAGAGGCGCTTTTACACTGCCACATCCCAGGCCTTTTTCTGTTTTAATTTAGAGTCAGGGATCGCTGACTTGCTGAAGCTGGCTTTGAACTCACAATCCTCCTGCCTCAGCCTCCTCAGCCCCAGGGGAGGGCTGTGTTGTGGTGTGTGCCACCACACCCGCCTGGCTTAGCTTCTTTTGCTTAGCAAAATGTCCATATGAGCGCAAATTGCTGGGCATACCAGCAGTTTGTTTTGTTTTCTCTCCTGGAGTAGTATTTATTGTGTGGCTATATTACAATAGAGCCAATATACTTTTTTCCATTCATCTGTTAATGATCAWTTGGTTGTTGTTGATTTTGTGTATTTGAACAACACAACACCTTGTGCTGCCAGGCAAGCATACTGACATTGAGCTGCATGCACCCTGAGCCCCTGTTTTCCCTGCTGAGACAGCATTTTGTTGTTGCCCAGGATAGCCCTGCACCTCTGAGCTCAAGCRATCCTTCTGCCTCAGCCTCCCCAGTATCTGGGAACATTAGGCGAGTTACCACCACATCTCTTTTGGCCGGTGTTAATGAAGTTTGTACAAGTACCTTTGTGAACAGRTTTTTCCGGAGTCAAATTCCTAGGAGTAGAAAGGTAGACCACATACCATTGTGTATGCAAGG